ATCCCCTGAAAGCTCTTAACAATGTAAAATAAATCCCCATAAGTTAAGATTCCTTTCATAGAGTATTTTCACCTGTGCTTAAGAGCACATTAAAAATAACTTCAAAATGTCCTTCTTTCATCTCCAGAGACAATTCTTTCTTTTACAAGAGTTATATCAACCAAAAGATTTCCTCTGCTGTTAATGAAATCAGTGCACTCTGGGTAAGCAGCACTAAACGGTTACAAAATAGCAATGTTTCCTTGCACCTTTGCAAGATCTCATAATGCAGATCTCTATCCAAATGCCATATGCTCAGAAATGTCATCCATAACTATCTTACCAAAAAGTAACCTCAACCTGCCACACTATTCACTCTGGGATTACCTATGTATTAATCAGCTTTCTTCTTGCTGGTCAGAATATCCAATACCCATAATCTAAAGGAAAAGAGGTTTAGTTTGGCTCACATTTTCAGTTCATGGTCAGATGGCTCTAGGGCAAAAATATCATGAAGTGCATGACAGAGCAAAGTTTAGTTCTTGGCAGCCAGGAAGTACAGCAGAAGAGTGCCAGAGAAAAAGGGGCCAGGGACCAGACATAGATCCAAAGCCATATACCTCCATGAACCACCCAGATTGGGTTCTACCAATACCTGGGGTAGATTCCAAAGCCAGTAACATTGAAATTATCCCTAACCACAACTCACTTTTTCCAACTTGCTACCCAACTATATCTCCTTAAACCATTCTTAATCTACAAAGAAACACAATAGCAAGTTCATAATTCCACCTAATATAAAACTATCCCCAGTACACTGGAAACACAACAATTCCTTCCCCAAGTCTCAACCATTCCAACATTCTTCAAAAGTCCAAATCTAGGTCTGAGACACGAGGCAAACAAGCTACGAACTGCTGCAAAAACCAAAAACAAGTTACATAATTCCAAGGTCCAATGGCACAAGGTAAACATTCCCATTCCAAAAGGGAGAAATAGGGGGACAGAAAGAATAGGACACAAGAAAGACTAAAATCCTGGTAGAGTGAACATTAAGTCCTGTTGCTGCATGTCTGGCAGCTAAGTAACATGGTGCTGACATGTGAGTTGCATCAGGCCTTGGTGACCCCACACCTAAGGCTTTGCTGGTTGCTTCTCTCTTAGGCTGACTCTACTGCAACTGTCTGTTCTAGATGTTCCACATTCCTGGAATCTACAGCCTCCTGGCTGCCTGGTCTCCCAGCCCTTCCTCTGAAATCTTGATGGAAGCCTTCTTGATCCCACAATTCTTGCATTCTGCATGCCAGTAAAACCAATATCACATGGACAATGCCAAGGTCTGCTAGCAGCAGAAGCAATAGCTAGGCTCCCTTGTACCATGGCTGCCCTGGCTTCTGATAGCCTGGATGGCTAAGCACAGTGAAAATAATGCCAGGGAACAAATATCCTAGGAAGTCCTTCTCAAGGAGGGATCTTTGGGCAGTGGTGGCAAACCTATGGCACACATGCTGCAGTGGGCTGTTTGTTATCATTGAAAGATCTAAAAGGTTTGCCATTACTGTCCTTGAGACTCTCTTCTCAAATTAAAGGGTGATACTTTTGCACACTTGAGTCTGTGATGGTAGCATCCTGAAGATTCCTGAGGTACCCTCAAAACACTGTTCTTTTTCTTGTATAGAGTATTTGGTTTCTTTTTAACAGTGTTAATCTTTTTAGCAGCCATACCAACTTTGGCCCCAACTTTCCATATGGCTCCTTCTAACTAAGAGGTAAGTTTTAAAAATTTTTCTACTCTAAAATTTTCCTCTAATCCCTACTATAAATCTGACTAAAAACAACCAGCAGTGATTATGCCACAGCCTAAATGTTGGGTTGTCTTGAAATTTCCTCCACCAGATTAATCAGTCCACTATTAAAGTGACCTCAATCTGCTGCAAAATCTCAGGAAATAGGCAAAATGTAGTCAAATTTTGTACCAGAATTTTATATACATGGCCTCTTGTCTAAATGTCAATAGACTCCTTGTTCCCAAGTAAAATATCCTGGTTTTTAGTGAAAGCTGGAATAGTGTCCTGTTCACTTCCGAGTTTTACTACTGGTCAAGAAAATATACTTTGAAGGCTAGACTGAAACGCAAACCCAAGGGCAGAAAGCCTCACATAATCCGTCCACAGAACCATTTAGTGGTGGCCTTAACCCCTAGAGGTTATACCACCAAGCCATCCTTTTTACCTTAATCTTAGCTTTTGTCTTATCCTAAACATGTGTTTAACTACTTTGTAGCCAATGCTTCAAACTTTTAGAAAGTCTACTATATCTTTTTAGGAAAGAGTAAGAAGCATAATTAGGTACCTTATAGCACAACTTCAACCTCTATCTTCCTACCAGAGCTGCTTCTATGAACTAGCTAAAGGGCCAGAACCACTGACCACTACAGGATATAGTATGGCAATACCTCCACCTTTAGGCTTTCTGGAGTCACAGCTATGAGCATATCTAATATCCTTCCAACCACTAATACCTGCTGCCAATACCTGCTCAATGATCCCACCCTCCATGCAACTATTTCCATTATCACTCAACCAGCTCCCTAAATATTCATCTTAAAGGTATACACAAGAGCAAGGGGTAAGGCTTCTAAACCTTTCAATCTATCCACAGCAAGACCACATTAAGCACTTCTCAGATGCTGCATACCTGCTGAATTTTGCCAACTACTTCTCCCTTTGCTGTTTTATAAGACTCCACCTCTTCTTCAGGTGATCTCACAGTAAACTAGACAAGTACTTTTCAACCCACAGGACACAACCACAGCATGCCATAAAATCAATCTAGTAGGAGAGTATAGAATTCTTCTTTGGGGATTTATTTTTTTGTTTGTTTTGTTTTTTCCGGTACCAGGAATTGAACTCATGGCCTCATGCTTGCCAGGCAGGTGCTGTGCCACTGAGCTAAATCCCCAGCCTAGAATTCTTTTTTAACACAACAGAAGCAGAACATATCATATGCAGTCAAGAAAAATGTTCCATTTGAGTTATCTAAATAGGTTGGGGAATATAAACAAGATCATGATTAAAAGATGTTTCCCTAAAACTGGAAACAAAAAGCTTTTGTAAATAAGAAGAGGAAGAGGGGTTGAAGGGAGTATAGGGGAATGGGAAAAGAAAGAATCAAGTTATACCATGTACAGGTACAAATTCCCTATAATGCATGTGATCATTATTTATACCTAAAATGTACCAATAAACTTAACAAAAATATAAATGTTTCCTTATTGTAGGTTGCAGTTGATATAATTCTAAAAACTATTAGTCAAGAGTACTCACTACATCTAATTGTACTTTACTGTTCAACCACAAAAAAATAATTCATTAAATGTAGGTCTGAAAGCATATTCTTCCAACATTATAATTTCATATGAATAAGCCCACAAATCAAAAAAAGATCCTTTGTCAGACCCAATAACCTATTTTCACAGTCAGAAATTATAGAGTAAGAGAAATCAGTATATTTGAGATGAGAAGTCATGAGACAAGAGGTCATAAATGCACCACAAAATTCTCTACAGACCAAATCCCACAGAGCTGAACAGCAATATAACAAAGTCCAAAAGAAAAAGAACAGTGTTTCTGTGACTATGTGTTGAGAACTGTCCCGCAAAGCTATTACCTCATTCCACTTAGCCTAGCTTGTTGCTTCTATCCCGGATCCCCTCTTGTAGTATGGTAATGCTAGTTCCCTCCTCACTCTAGCTTACTATTAAGTTTGCTTTTCTCTAAATATCAGCAAACTTTGAAATCAATTTGGCTTTCTACCAGGAATACTATTGATTTACAGCCTGATTTACTGATATGAACAAATACTACACTTGATCTTAGCCAAAAAGCCAAGAAGTGATCACACAGCCTGATCTGGCATTGAGGAATCAAAACATACCTTGCACAAATTCTTCCCAACTATAAACTTATGTTTAGCCTTTTCATATTAATAACCAACAAGAACACTTCTGAAGCCTAACAATGTGTCAAGCATTGTTGAAGTCGTTTATCATCCACTGTTTTCACTCTCACAAATACTCTAGTTTCCAATACCAGCAATTGTAAGGTCACCTAGGGAAACAAAAGTTGTCATAGGAAAACATTCAGTAATACACTGATCACTTAATGAACTGACATACAATTAGCAATAATCGCGCCTCGGATAAACCTCATTGGTTACGATACTGCCACTGTGCAAAGCTCAAACTCACATACATTTATCACAACGAACTGATGGCACACTTTCCTCAATCTGGTTAACACCATCAGTTTCTCTTGACTGAATGTAAGCATCCACAATACAAATAAAATTACTTGCAAATTCATTCAACAAATACTAAACACCTACTACTTGCCAAACACTGTTCGAGGGGACCAGAAAGATACATAAAAGCCCAGGTGGACAGAACGTTTATTCCCCCCCATGTGGCCTTCACCCTTTTACCCTCCTTTCCTACCAAGTTTCAGACATGAAGAACCTAAAAGCAGCAATTCAAGTCACACATCAAATTATGAAAATCATTTGATTAGGAAGTCTACTCTCCAGAAAAATCATCTACTCGGATTCATTTGACAAAATGACAGCTTCCCATTTTTTCAAGTAAGCAGAGGATTGCCATGCCAGGAGCCTCAAGTCAAGGCTTAAATAATAATGGTGAGGTTGTGGGAAACTGGCCTAAATGGCATCGAAACTCTCATTGAATGCTTTACCTGGGATCCAGAAACCAGAAATTGGCAACTTTTAAGAAATCATATGCTAGATTTTGTGTGTACATGTATTTTTCGCAGCTCTGAGTCCAGAATTCTCATGTCATTCTCAAAGGGGTTCAATCAAAATGGGTGAAAGAAGTTTGCTCCCAACAAGTGGAGCAGACCAGCCTCGGAGGTACCTGGTGAAAGGGAATGTGGTCACAGGTAGGTCAACTGAGTTGAAACCCAGGTGTCCTGGCCCCAAGACCTATGCTCTGAGTGTCCAATACTTACTCTTAGTTCTTCGAAGGCTTCATCTAGGGTAGATAGCTGGTGGCCCTGATGCGTCCCAATGACTGGACACAGCACACAGATGAGCTGCCTGTCTTCCTGGCAATAAGTGCTCAAATCGAGCCCATGGTCCGGACATTTCCTCTTGGCCACTCTCTCTGCTTCCATTTCTATTTCTGGGTCAAATTCACTCTCTGCCTCGGTTTCCCCTTCCGCCTCAGATTCTCCTTCTTGGTTGTCCTCCTCCGCCTCACTTTCGGGCTCATCTTCCATGTCTTCCTCGCTGTCTTCTTCACTCTCTTCCTCGCTTTCCTCCTCACTCTCCTCCTCCGTCTCGCTCTCTTCTTCGGACTCGCTGTCTTCCTCAGACTCGCTCTCCTCCCCTGCCTCGCTCTCTACCTCCCTCTCCGGCTCCGCTTTGGCCCCAGTGTCGTCCTTCCCCACCCCATCCCCGGGGGGCCGCACAGTCCAGGCCTGGGCGCCATGGACATACTCGGCCAGGTGGTGACTGTGGAACTTCTGCCTGTGCACCTCCGCATGGCTCTGGCAGTAGCAGAAGCCGCATTCCCGGCACACTTCCTCGGCCCTCGGGGCCTCGTCGGGCTCGCATTCGTCACACGTGCCGTCGTGAGGCAGCTCCTCGGAGGCCGCGCCCACTCCGGCGGCCATGTGGAGGCTGGGACTCCGCGGCCGAGGCCTCAGGGCCCGCGAGCTCCTGGCCGTCCCTCGCGCGGCCTCCTGGGGTCGACGTCTCGGGGAGCGCTTCCGAGGCGGGTGCCTCTGCTGGGCCGCGCCGCGTCTCGGAGTGGGGCCTGGGGTCACGGCGGACCCTGCCGGCCCGGAGCGCAGACCCCTTGCGCGCTCTGCGTGCTCGCGCCGCGCCCGCTTCCGCCCCCGCCGCTCACTTCCGGCGCGGACGCCCCCGCCCCGTCGACCCCCGCGCCACCACCGCTGACACCGCTACCTCCGCTTCAGCCGCTTGGCCTCCGCTGCCCGCCGGCCAGCTCCGGGCCCACGCCGCCCCGGTTCCACTTTCCCTTCGCGGTCAGGCGGCCCCTTTCACTTCCTGAGTCACTTAAAGTGGCAATGGCCCTTTTCTGCTTTTCCCGCGGGGCTCCGCTGAGCCGCTGGGGATCTCGGTGTCCCCGAAAGGAGGAGTCAACCCCACTTTGCAAGCCCGCCAGCCTCGGTTCCGGTCCGTGTAGTCTTCCGTGTGCCTCTCTCGTGCCAGTGTGTCACCGCGAGTCGCACCCCCGGGGGTTCTGCAAGGTGCCGGGACCCAGTGTTGTGTATCAGGCTGAACCCGACCTCTTAGGATTCCTAAGGCCCCAGGAGAGCTGTGTTTGTTCTGGTAGGCTCAGGCAGTCTGAGTCAGGCAGAGCAAACATTTCTGATCCAAAGCAATACTGTGCTTAGTCTGTTTTCAAAGTCTTGTTTGTATTTGCCTCCCAGGGGCTCAGAACCTTTGGGTCCTTAGCCTTTTCTGAGAGCTGCTTTGGGGTAGGCTGCTGTATTATGTGAAGCCAGGTGAGGAAAGTCAGTATTTGTAGAGAGTTCTAGAATGTAGTCCCATTTCTTTAGGTAAAAGAGTCCCTCTAGACTCAGAGTGGGTTCCAAGGGGAAAAAAGGGAGCCATTAGATATTCAAGAGTAATAAAGTGCCTAGAATAGGGCTAGACACTTGTGGCCATTTAAAACTCCTTTTAGAAGATCCCCAGCCCAGGGCCCCCAAATCCTGGGGCTACTACACAGCCATTTTTGCTACTGTGGACAAGTTAATTCATTACTCTGTTTTTCACTTTAAAGAAAAAAAAAAAACTACATAAAGTGGAGATAATAATAACAATTCATGTGTTATTTTGTGGATTAAATGTAAAAGGCCATGCACTGTAGAATGTTCACTAAGCTTTAATTATTGTTTTGCGCAAATTATATTTAGTGCTTACAATAACCCTTTGAAGAGGTCTTTAAAGCACTTAAACACATAGGGTTGGCTGTTGGTTGTGTTTTCTAGTTATGTTCCTTGCTTGGTTTTTTCTACCACTGCCCCAGGTTTAAAAGGAAACAACTTAGCATTTACAATGTTAACACATTTAGAAAATGTTTTCTTGATGTTTTAAAGGGACACTTTTGTGTCTGGGGTGTTTGGTGAGGGAAGAAGATGTATTATTATTATTATTGTTGTTGTTGTTAATGTTTCTTCAACTTGACAAAGTTAAAAGATAATACTGTACAGTTAGGTATCTGACACTGTATAGTACTTCTTTAATATATGTCTTAGTCACTTTCCTTGTCATTGGACAAAATATTGGACACCCACAAGTTAAAGGAGGAGAGGTATATTTTGGCTCACAGTTTGGTGGGTTTAAACATGGAAACAGCATGGCAGAAGTTTCTGGGCAGAGGAAACCTGCTCATATCATGGCACCCAGGAAGCAGAGAGAGAAGAGAGGAACCATGAGGGAGATGTAGTACTCTTCTAGGTCATACTTCCCAGTGATCTGCCTCCTCATCAGAGCCCATCTCTCAGTAACAACTCAGCTATATTGCCCCCATGATCCAATCACCTTCTAAAAGGCTCACCTATGAGTGCATGAGGCTCTCGGGGGGACATCTGGGTATAAATCATAAAAATCCTTCTATAGAGAGAGGTTCTTAGAAGCAGAAGCAGATGAAGCTATTTAAAAGGTACTTTATAAATTCCCTGTTACATTATGTGACAGAATAAGACGATCTTCTATACAGAAAACAGAACCATCTGATTCCCCAGGGATTAAAATTTTTGGAAACATCCTTGTTATATTAGTCTGTATAGAAAATTATCTCAAAAGTTTAACAGGTTAAAGTAATAAACCCCTATTATCTCACAGTTTCTATGAGCTGGAAATCTTGGAGTGGCTTCACTAGGTGACTGATTTAAGGTCAGTTAAGAGATTTCAGGAAAGATGTTGGCTGCACTGTAGACATATGAAGGCTAATTTAACAAATGTAGGTTTCACTTCCAAGATGGCTCACTCACATGGCTATTGACAGGAGGCCTCCGCACTTTTTTATAGACTGTGTAATTGTCCTATGACCTAATAGTTAAATCTCCCAAAGCAAGAGATCTAACAGAGGACAAGATGGAAGATACAATGTCTTCTATGACCTAAATTCAGAAGTCACATGCCATCATTTTCAATATAAACTATGGAGTACATAGATCAACTCTATTCACAGTGGGAGGAAACTACACAAGTGCCTGAATACCAAGTTGGAGTGTCTTTGGAGCCATTTTGGGGGCTTACTACCACAGTCTGCCCTTCTGTCTCCAATGATTCCTGTATCTCCCAAATGCAGAATATTCTCACTTCTTTCCAACGTACAAAAGCCTCAACCCATTATACCACCAGTCTAGAATTTTGCCATCTAAAGTGGGACATGTCTCTTAGGTGATATATTTTGGATTTTCCTAAAACTCAATGGACTGAATGGCGTAGAAGAACTCCAACAAACATGCTTGTTCAAGTGGTAGGGAAGATAGAAGGCTCTGAAGAGTTACTTGGGCATATAACCCTTAAATGTGGTTGGGCACATGTTGGAATTTCCTTGATTGTACCTCAGACGTAGTCCTGCACAGGAATGACTCCTCACAATTCTTGACTTCGCGCTTTGACCTCTTGATTCTCCTTTCTGAGTTATCCTTCCTTTTCCATTACAAGTAGCCCATGTCTTCAGCTAGAGTTTTCCAAGTTTGCTCTGTGTATGTAGAATTTAGAATGTCCACAGGCTACTTTTCATTTTGTACCATCTCTTTACCTATGATGGCAGTGTTTTTGCCAATACAAATTTTTTAGAACCTTACATGTTTCTTATAAATTTAATTGGATTCATTCTATTGGACTAAATTTATACCCAGAAAACTCTCCAAGCTGTTCTCTACTCAGAGTCCCTTAGTTTAAACTGCCCAGGCAAAACACACTAAGACATTTTTAAAGCTCCATTGTTTGCCTGAACGATCTTACTAATCACTGATATAGGTATTTTTGAGGTCTGAACAAAGATTTTATAGCCTTACTTTTACCTCATTGTTTGATATTTTCCTGGCAACATCCTGAAGTTTATCTTTGCCTGAAAACCATTTCTTTATTTTAGAACCATTTGCCACATAGAGAAACTAGGAATTTTCAACACTAGCAAGTTCTAGGTCCTCCTTCCTTCCTTTCCCTTCCTGCCTGCCTGCATGCCTGCCTGCCCTTATTTTTCTAAGACCTTCCTTTAAATTTTTTTTTCACATTTTGCTATAATCATTAAGAAGACACAAGCCAATATCTTCAAAACTCTATGAAGAAATGTACTTAGCTAGAATACACAATTGAATAGGAACATTTTCTACCTTCCACATTACTATAGGTATCCATGTTATTAAAATTCTTTCTTTGCATAGCAAGGATCCCTTTCTTCCAATTTTAAACATTTTCCTCATTCCCTTTACATTCTTCTCTATGGTCATCTCAAGGCCATAAGGATTCTATTAACAGTTTCTGCAGGACTCCAGTGTTTAACATTCTCCTCATAGTCCTCCCAGCTTCTGCTCTGCTCAGTTCCAAAGGCATTCCAACATTTCAGGTTTTTAGTATAAAAGAAACTCTCTAATAAAAATCTATATTTGTATGGTTGCATAACAGATTTTCCTAAAATTTTGATTTATCTTGTGGGCTAATGATCACACTTGGCATTGGAATTGTAGGATTAGCAACAGCTGCAAAGCATCTGTATTGGCTGCATTCCTGTTACTGAGACACAATAACTTGATACCTGCAATTGAGATAGGTGAGGTTTGGTTTGACTCACAGTTACAGTGGGTTCAGTCCATGGCTGTGCTCAAGTGGAGCCAGCATTGTGAAAGTGCATTATAGAGCAGTGGTGCTCACACAATGGTGGTCAAGAAGCAGAGAAAGAAGGGAGGAGCTGGCAACAAGAATACACCCTGTAGGCCCACCCCCAGTGACTCACCTCCATCAAACCCCTCCTACTAACAACACATTCTGCTACTAACTTCATCAATAGATGAATCCAGTGATGAGTATAGCACCCCCATGATCCAATTACCTTCTGTTATGGTTTGTGTCTAGATGTCTCCCCAAAGCCTCATGTAGTAATAGGTGGGGCTTTTCAGAGGTGGCTACATGTAGAGTGTGATACTAGGATCAAGGATATGCAGTTAGTAACTTGGTCCAATTTTGGTCCACTATTGGTCTAGCATAATGCTGGGAGTGAATAATGGAAAGGCTCACCCTGGGTGTGAGTGCTGCCAATGCTATGGGCAGGTAGCCTGGATAGACTATAAGGGACAGAAAGAGGGCTGCCTGGGGTAGCTTGCAGCTTCCACACTGCTTCATTATTTTGCTGCCCTTTTTCCTTCTGCCCACCATGAGCTTTTTCTCCTCTGTGATGCCCATCTGCCATTCCTCTATGACTTGGAACCAACCAACTATGAACTGAAATCTCTACAGACCATGAGCCAAAATAAACCTTTCCTCCTTTAACTGTGGGTGTCAAGTATTGTCTCAGCAGTGATAAAAGTAACTGAGACACCTTTCAAGCACATGAGACTATTGCAGTACATTTTAGTTCTAAGCCATAACAACATCTCTAAGATGTTTATCAGTGAATAACAGGAGAAGTTTGAAGCTAAGACTGCTTTATAAATACTTGTGGGGACTCCTAGAAATAAATGGTGTATTCCTAAACAAACAAGTCTTCTATTATGTGGCTATTAGGTCTTAAGTCTTGCAACATTTGAACACTATACAAATCAGGAACCTAAGTTCAGAGACAAGAAGAAACTGGTTAAAAAGTAGCTGAGTTGGAATTCAAACTCAGATCTCTCAAACTCAGATGGTGACTACATCTTAGCATAGTCACCTGCAGAATGAA